TCTTATTCATAAGCTTCAGGCACAATTGTCACTTGGGCAAAACCAGCTGTGTTAGGTTAATTCAGGTTTATCAGACTGTCTACGGGATTTCTTTAGAGGTAAATGAACCCACATTTATCCTAAAGGTGGAACAGGGTTAGAGAACAGCAGGCAAGCTTATTGGCTTTGCAAAATGTGTATAAAGAATGTGTATTATAAAATCCTATATGTAAGTTTTATAGCTGTATGAAACTAATAACAGTGTGTGTTGTATATGTATATATAGGGAGAAAATGTGAAATGTTCTTGAAAAACCTCTCTAATAAGCTATGTTACAGACACCTGGCTGAATCCTTCTGAGATTCCCTATTTTCACAACCCAAGGAAATATATTAAGGTGCTTTCCAGCCAAATTCACGATTCCAGAGTTGAGAGGATCAAACAGAGCTTTCACATGTGTTTCTGTATAACATCCTTGTAATTATTTGCTCTTTAGCTGATGCTGCACCTCTAGTGTAGGGCCTATAAACAGATACAGGACCAGGAATGCCAGTCCCTTAGACATGGAAACAGGTGAAAGCTTAATTGGTGTGAGTTTATGATGGTCATTCAGATGTTATTTGACAGGTTTTATTTGAAATCCCTTGACCCTGCGTGTCAGGGAGACCTGTGTGTTGCCTTTTAAGGGCTGATCATCAGCCATGGTGTCAGATTCTGCAGTTTTCTCCCAAGTGTGAGAACATCATTGTGTTTTCTGCATGCTCCATTTAAATCCTTCTGACATCTGTGTGGGCTGCTTTCCATTCATTAACATAGGGGAGTTGCATCTTCTTCCATGGTGGCTGGTCAAACGCCAAAGGCAGATTAAGTTTCCTTGAGCAAGGAACTTGTCATTTAGGCTCTTCAAACTGGAGCTGGGAGCTTTGGCAGCTCTGAGAAGAGGCAGTGAGAATCATTGCCACAAAAATTATTTTTGTGTGGTCCTGCTGTGCACCCCTGGATTTCAAGTTTGATTTATGGCTGCTCTTTTTTTTTTTTTTTTTTTTTTATTTTAAAAGTCTGCATTCATTTTTTCTTGCAGGAGATTGTAATGTAAATAGTGCAGCATACACATTTAATTCTGAAACTGTGCATTATTTCTAAAATTAAACACATGGTAATTGGTGGCATATTTTCCAGTTCCTCAAAGTTCTCTGTAAACCCACTGCTGGCTGTGTATTTCCCTTCTTGTATTCATGTAGCTGCCTTTATTCTTTATGGTCCTGCTGAGGTCCCAGAGCAGGCAGAAGGCAACTGCTGGAGAAGTGTATAAAACACCACGGCTGGATGCCAGCTACTGCTCCCACAGGTGGTCAGGCTCCTGGAGGCACAGCTGGAAACACTGGGGAACATCTCACTGGACAGTGCACGGGACCCAATCGCTTTTTTCCAAACAAAGTTTGAGATGACTTAGCTAGGTGTAAATTTCTTCTCCTTCACTCCCCTCCACTCTTGGCTTTTACTCTACAGTACTCAAATAAATCTTTTTCGATTCAGCTATCCCTTCCAGAACTGCTAAGAATTACTTTAATTTTACGTTTTAGTCTAAATTTCTTTTCAGTAAGCCGTATATATTTTTGACCTATGCCTTTCTGGACAGAAGACTCTGCTGTCGTGGTTTGGTGTATATCTGAAACATTTTTGCATTTAGTGTTCCCTTAATTATAATTTCCCTTTTACATGACTGTTTTCTGTTGCTGAAGAATTCAAAAAGCTTGACAATTTGTAAGTTGTCATAAACGCTGTCGTTGCTTGTGAGCAGTAGCTGCGGTTTGTGACTTTTTAAATGGACATGATGTGTTTGTTTTTGCCATTCAGAATTAAGCTGATTGAATTGTACTGATGGCATACCATATATAACTTTAAACTTAACAAGTTTGAGTAACTTATTTTTTGGAAGTGCAGTGTCTCAAATATTAGTATGTATTTCATTTTAAAATAGGCCAAGTTGAACTTTATGATGCATTATATAGGAAATCCTGTGAAATCAGGATAAAGGTTATTCTTTAGCAGTGATACCCTGGGGTAGATACTCAGTTTGTACAAGTTGTTCTCTCTCTGCTTCTAACTGTCTTCTTAAGAAGGAAGCAGATGACATTTAAAATCTTGATTTGATGGAAAAAGCATTAACAAGAATGTGTTTGAAAGTGAAGGGTAGGAAAATGCATGTTTATAAGTAATATTCATATTTTTAATTACATGGATAATTAAAGGGTAGTAGTTCCAATTCTTGAAAACCTATATGTGCAGTATGCCGAAGTGGACAATATTTACCTTTTGCAAGAGCTCTAGGTTAAACCTCTGCACTCAGTTGTTCTGTATTAGCTGTGGGTGAAACAGAAATTTTCAAATTAAAAATGGAAAGACTTTGAGCTTAGTGTAGAATAGCTGGGTGAAATGTTGTGTGGTACAGGGAAGAACAGGGAATGTGGTGGGAGTCCCTTGGCTATTGCAACTTATGAGTACACCAAATAAAGTGCCCCCACTGTCCTGATTCACTGTAGGAATTGCCCATTTGATGTACTCTTCCCACAAAATGCTTAGAAATCTTCTGTAAATTAGGCAAATGCTCAGTGTATTGTAGTCTTTTGTCTTTTTCTGTTATGGTCACCATTTACAGCTGTTGTTTGAAAGACTCCTGAAACAACATAAATGCAGTTGAAAATTAAGCACAGTTGAGAGTAACTGCTTACAATGTGCTTCTTGGTTCAGATGACTGCAACTTGAGATCTGCTGGCATGCATGAATGATTCAGCTGCCCTGAGGTGCCTAGGGATTGATGTGGTATTCAAATAACTGGAGTAACCTTCAAATCGTGGAGGTTAACACTGAATTTACTTATGGTTTCCATTTTTTGACACTTGTTTGCTGAGTGATAGAGCATAGGCAGTTTTGTTTTGATGTACTGGGAAATATGTCAAATGCACAAATGAGCACTCTGTTGCTGGGCACCTTTGTGATTAACCTGGTCTGTAAAATAAAATAATTTAATTTAGCACATTTCACTTGGAGTAGATGAGCCCAAAACATTATTAATCACAGACTGTTGTGCATATGAAACCCAGTTATTTCCATGAGCTCATACTATTACTCTGCTGTATGAAAAAAATCTTCATCTATTCAAGTTTTTTTTGTTTGTTCTCCTTCAAAGTATTTTGACAGATAGCAGCTCAAGTAAAAAACATATAAAATTACTTTGCAGAAATGTGAGATAAACATTCTCCACTTACAAATATTGTAGATGCCAACTTCCAAGAGCAAGGGCTGTTGATCTGCATTTACTTAAGTTAGTGCAAGTCTGCAATAACTCCACTGGAATTGCAAATTCAATAAAGAATAAATTTATTCCTGCTTTACACATGGTGATTTCTCTAAAGAAATCTTTGCTGTTCAAATGCTTGTTGATTTTCTTTTCTGCTTTTGCCAGCAGTTTTCATTCATACCTCTTCTAGGCATTTTAAAGTGCCAGTAGCAATTCTAACATCTCAGACCCCTCAGAATGTCTTTTACCATGAGCAGATGATTGATAAGAGTGCAGAAGTGGCATTTCTTTTGCTTTCATGGATTTTTGTGTTTACCTGCCTAAAATACACATTATATTTATCACAGGATACAAATCCCCTTTCCCTCAAAGAAATATTAGTATCGTGGGCTTTTTATAGTATTTGATGAGATACAGTATTTGATGAGATATTTGGAAGTGGTAACACTGAGATATTTGGAGGGCAGGCATCTGGTTCAAGTGATATATACTGTAGACTTTGTGATAGTTTCATTTCATGTTTCTTTAATTTGATTGGATGGATGGATGGATGGATGGATGGATAGATAGATAGATAGATAGATAGATAGATAGATAGATAGATAGATAGATAGATAGATAGATAGATAGAATCATAGAATAGATTGGGTTGGAAAAGACCTCCAAGATCATCAAGTCCAACCCCTGATCCAACTCCAATTACTATATCATGGCACTAAGGGCCACATCCAATCTCTGCTTAAAAACCTCCAGGGATGGTGAATCCACCACCTCTCTGGGTAGGCTGTTCCAATGCTTGATTACCCTCTCTGTAA